AGACCCATTGTCCTCAGCTTACAGGCCTCTACAGAGAACCACTTAACTGGTAGTGGACCTAGCTCTGTCTTGATGAGCCACTGCCCAACCATTTTTTACATCCTAAATGAATTTCTCTGTTTCTTTGTTTTTTCTTCGCTGTACGCCTTATAAATTTCATCCCCCAATCCGTAAATACGAACTCTATATAAACTTTTGATTCATTATAATATTTTTAAAAGACTATAATACCTTTAAATTATTTAGATTCTAAGGCATGTTTTCAATGTAACTGGATGGCATGTTTGCATGGGTTTACGGAGTAAATATATACGAAGGTACTATAATTATAAATCAATGTTTGGTAAATAATAAAAAATAAAAGTGTAATAAAATCAATATTTCATGAGAAAAAAATTATATTGGTAATTAAAAATTTAGAGATTGAATAAAATGAGTTATAATAATTCACAGTATTTTGTGAGGAAAATTACAATATTTTTCACACATGTTTAGCTTTTCTGCTAATAAAAAAATTACAAATAAAATTCTCAATCAGTTCAATATTAAAAAAAATTACAAATTAAATTCTTAATCAGTTCAATATTAAAAAAATCAATCATTTTTTTTAAATCATAAAAAAATCTATTTGGGGAAATACTGCAACAATCCACAGTATTTTATATGTAAAGTTATAGTGCTTTCGCCATATTATTTAGATTTATTATAATAATTGTAATTCTTAATTAGCTCAATATTAAAAAAATATAATTGATAAATATAATTTCTAAAAAAATCATGTGGGGAAAGACTATAATAATCCATAGTGTTTTAAAAAAATAATTATAAAACTAAATACTCAATCAACTTAATATTAAAAAAATCATTGATAAAGATAATTTAAAAAAATCATAACAAAACAAAAGAAAAGAAAAAAAAAGCATGTATGGAAACACTATAGAAATCCATGTTTGTGAGGAAAGTTACATTTGTAATTCTTAACTAGTTCAATATTAAAAAAGTAAAATCAATAAAAATAATTTTAAAAAATCATAACAAAAAAATCATGTAGAAAAATATTGTAACAATCCAAAGTGTTTTTTTTATAATTTTGATTTTTCTTATTTTTTGTATTTTTTAAAGTGAACAATATCAACGTCGACTCAAACAATTAATAATTGTAAAATTAACACGTTAAAAGTTTAATTTGTTCAAAATACTTTTAAAAATTTAATTTTTTCTAAATAGACGTTAAAAAACAAAAAATGATGCAAATGTATCAAAATGCATTTGGGGGGTTTTCACTGTTTTTTGATTATTTTTTATTTTTTCTCAATTTTTATCAAAAACATGAATAAAAAATTAGGTAGCAACAAATTCAATGTCTGGACTCAACCCAAAACTTTTGAATCCGGTGTTAGAATTCAAAGCTCTTAGGTCTTACATCCTGATCTAAGTCTAATGAGTTTGGATTGTAGTTAAATCCAAGACTTTGGGATCTGTCATTTAAAAAGGATTCAGAACTCTTGGACCTGGTGTTATAGCTAGACCCATATAAACTTGAATAAGTTTAATATTATTATTTATATTATAAATATTATTATCTTTATTATAATTAATATTAAAAATATTATTATTTGTATTATAATTATTATTATTTGTATTATAAATATTATTTTTTGTACTATAATTATAATAATTAATAATTTTTTTAAAAAAATTAATATTAAACATTAATTTGATTTGAAGGTTAAATTTAAAAATTATTATTATTAAATTTTAAAGAATATTATTATCAAATAAAAACTATAAATTTGTTTTTGAATAAATTAAAAAGCATATGAATTTAGCCAAAAAAAGGTATATATTATTATTAATATTATAAATATTATTATTAAGTCAACATTATAATCAGATTCAAAACACTTTAATTTTTCTTTACAAATAAAATGCATATTTTTAAATTTTAAATATATAAAAAAAAAGTTGGGTGAAGTTGCATAACACCTAACTAATGTGTGTACACACCACACGATAATTTTTTTACAATACCATTTGGTTGTTTTTCTTTTCAAACAGCCTTTGATTTTTTATTGTGAAGGTCCGTAAACAATAATTAATTTAATATACTATGACTTCTAATTTTTTTACAGAGGATTCAATAAACAACAAAAATAAAATTGTACTTCTCAGCAATTTCATGATATTTTCAGCTATTAGAGATTAAAAAAAAAAGCTTTGAATATTTTATTTTTAAATATCTTAAACTATAGATGTCACATCCGTCCAATTCATACAACGTAAGCTCATTTTTTTCCTTCTACTAAGACGAAAGAGAGAGTAATTAGACCAGTATAAATAGACACTATGCCTCGAAATGCATAATTGAGATGCAATAGTAATTAATTAAGCCAGGCATGGTTAGTGCAAGTATTCTCATTTGCATAATAATAGTGCTTATGAACGTGGAAAAGGGAATATTGGTGAGTTGATGACAATCTTTTTGAACTTCTTTAATGTGACATGATAACTTCTGTAAATAGTTTAAAAAAGATATGTTGTTAATCCTCTAGACTTGGAATTTATATATATTAATATTGTTTTATATTTAATTTTATTAATTAAAATAAAATAATAAGATTTAAATTCACAAGGCTTTATTTATCAAGATTTTGATACTTTATAAAAGAATCATTGTAATTCAAAAACTTAAATGGCCAAATGAGGCACAAATACTGTCTTCTCTTCTATCACTACCAACCATGTATATGAAGTACAAATCCGTAGATACAATGATTTTATCACCAACCTAATTATTGTCAAATCCTCGTCATCCCAATATTTATGCTCCAAAATTCAGGGCACTGAGATTGATTCCAATGTGGGTATTATCAAGTTTCAACAACCCTTTTAAAACTGAACGGTGCCTAATTATACGTTATTAATTAAGTACTAAGCTGTACCTAATTATACATTATAAATTAAGTACTAAGCCGAACCTAATTATACATTATTAATTAAGTACTGAGCCCTAACTAGATCAATGTTGTGATTTCTGATAAAATGACGGCATGAAAAGGACTAATTCAGTTCTTTAACGATGGATACCACCACCAACCATGATCATTGTCAATGTGCGGCATGGGTTCTGCCGTCTGGTAGAGTAGATAAAACCGAGCAATTTGCAGTTTTCAAAGGAAACGGATGCTCTCGTGATCAAATAGAATGACCAATTAATTTGCAGTTCTCAAATGGCCAGCTAATCTTTGTGATCAATGGCTGGCTTGGCTTGGTGTCACCCTGTGTGACTGATCAAACATTTTTACATTGGTTAATATTTGGCAATTTGGCATATATTGTAGGGAGATCTTTACTTTTGAAGGAGGTAGACTAGCTAGTTTTTGTTCTTGTTTCTTACAGTGATCATCATTTCTTTCCATCTCAGTTTCTACATATTGAAATTTACTGCTTTTCCAGCAGGGTTTAATGAGGAGGCCGTATAAATTGATGGATTAAAAAAGAATTAAAAATTGGTCTCTCTTGAAATTAGAACTTATTCACTTACTACACTAAACTAATTGTAAGGATACACTTAAATCACTAATTATTAACATGTTTGGTACGATGAAGTGTTTTTGTCTACTTAAATCACTAATTAATTAAAGCTAAATATTAGGTTTATCATAATATTTTTCGATCTAGTTTTTACATATAAAAAATAAATACTTTCTAAATTAGTTCTAGGTAGTTCTTACATGTGAGTTTTGGATTATGATCTGGTTTAAACTCACAATTAACACAAGAAACTACGAGGATCACACACTCACCAGTAATCAAATGGCAAAATACATTCACTCATGAGGTATTTGGACACAAGCCCTCCTGCTATATACACATGCTGGCTCGTGTCTTGATAATCTATTGCACTTTTATAGGAAACAAGAGAGAGAGAGAGGGAATCATGCCCGTTGAGTCAACTCAAGACAAAACATGGTGACGAATATATATATATATATATGGAAGGAGACTATTTCATTTGGATTAATTTAGACAATAAGTGCAAGTACTTAGTTAGTGACCTTTCAACCAATATTATCTGGAATATCTATCTTACAATTTAAAAACATCTAGTCACAAGATCACACTCAACTTGTTTTTTCGTTTTAAATAATGATGAATCCAATGTCATACGCCTCAATTAATCATTTAAATTTCATTTGCCAAGAAGAAATAAAAAGTTATACATTAAAATTGGTGTTAATTTTTCTGTGCCCAATAAATACCAGTCCATTCTAAATAAATAGTAAATTTTATAGATAATTTTAGATTAAGTGTAACTCGAAGTCAATAACAAGTTAGGTTTAGGTTGATTATAAATATTACTCAAGTCCCCTTGAAACCTTAATTTTTTTATAAAATTATATTTAATTATATCGAGTGATAACAAAAAAAACAAATAAAGTCAAGTTATGAATAATTAAAACTTAATCGAGTCGGATTTGTGTGCTCAAAATCCATACATATCCACTTTTGAATTGGATATGAATACTTATTATATTAGAGTTCTAATACGGATAGAACAAAACTTGATTCATGAAAATTCATTGTAATAAACACAATAAACACAAATTAGAATTTTCCTTACTTTTAATACATTTTGCTAATATTCCTATCAAAAGAAGTATATCTAAAATTATGAAGAATGACAAATTCTTGTATTATTAAACATTAGTGTCTTTATCGTTAGTCTCTAAAAAAAACCCATGTTATTGTTTTCTTTCCTTTGTTGACATTAGAGATGAGTTCAGATAAATTCCATCAACATTATATATAGAACCCTAGTGAAATTAACTATTTTTGGCTTCACGCAAAAGTCGGCAATATTTTTTCCTAGTATATTTTGCAAACATATATGCATTGAACATGCCATTACTATTTTAACATTTGAGATAAACAATAATGATGCAGACAAATTTATATATAAGGAGACAACATGCACCGATAAGTGCAAGACAAAATCTTTCAGTTACCCTCTACTAGTTGAAATATAGCTAGAGAACCATCATCATCAATGGCTACATCAAATCCAAAGCTCTCAATCATTTCCATCTTCTTCATTATCCTTTCATTCTTAATACTTCAAGCTGAATCCGTAGTAAAAGAGGGATGTGTAGAAGAAACAAGCTCTTGCAATGACAAAGCTAGAGCTTTAACCCTAAAGATAATAGCCATAGTCTCTATCTTGGTTACTAGCCTGATAGGTGTAAGTGCACCTCTTTTTACACGTTCAATCCCTGCTTTACACCCAGATCGAAGCCTTTTTGTGATTGTTAAAGCCTTTGCTGCTGGTATCATTCTTGCAACTGGGTTCATGCATGTGTTGCCAGATTCTTTTGACATGTTATCTTCAAGTTGTTTGCCAGAAAATCCATGGCACAAGTTCCCTTTTACTGGGTTTGTAGCAATGTTATCTGCCATAGTGACACTAATGGTGGACTCATTGGCCACTAGTGTGTATAGCAAGAAGTCTACCGTTGGAGTTAACCCTGAGAGTAATACTCATGGTGCTGAACCAGATCAAGAGATGGCTGTTGGACATTTCCATGGCCACGGCAACGGTCATGGACACCATTATGAGGCCAAACTTGCTGATGGTGAAAAACAATTGCTTCGGTACCGGGTTGTTGCCATGGTTAGACTTCATGACTTCGTTTATTCTTCAATCATATGCATCTAAACTGAATACTAACAAGTAGGGAATCACAAATTTAACCCCTAAGGTATTAGTCGACTGGGTCCATGAAGTTTCAGACAATTTTCAATTGTGTCCTTTATTTTTCATGTTTGCAATTTTTTCCCCTTAAACTCTCTTCAAAATGGAACAATTTGGTTTCATAAATATGCAAATTAAATGGAAAGTGTTAACAGACAGGGGTAGAAAGATCCAATTAATAAACGAAATGTTAGGGACCAATTTGATAAAAGTTTTTTGTTTGGAATAAAATTGAGGTTTTCCCTGATAAGTATAATGGGATGTGAAAAACCATTCATATTTATACTATTTCATTTCATTATTTAATTTTTTTTTATCCTCTTCTTTCTTCATTTAACTTGATTTACATCCTTTTATTAATTTTTATTTATTTCTTATATCACATACAAACTTTTCATTTCTAGAAAGACATTTTAGACTGGATTATTAATGCCGTACGTGTATAATATCATAAAACTAATACAGGTAGATACATTAATAAATAAATGCTTAAACATAACTTTTATTCCCCTGTAAAAACCCTCTTTAAATTGATATAGGTAAATACATTAATAAATAAATAACTAAATCTTTTGAGAAAATCTTTTAATATATAGATAGTAAAAACAAAAGGTTTTTTTTTCCAAAATAAAAAGATTACCAAATTTGCTCTTACACGTCACAAGTAGGTGCTATTTATCGAAAATTATAGCCAAAATTTATGTAGTGGCAACAAAATGGCTGTCGTGATTATATACAGAGATGATCTATAGGTCACACAATAGTAAATAAAAATCTCGAAGTTCACTCTTTCCATTAAGTTAGTACAAATTAACAAATATATCCATAAGAGTCGATCAAGGGACGGAGCCAAGTTATATTGTGAAATATGGCCAATTGACCCCTATGAATTAATATATATATATATATATATATATATGTTCAACTAAACATTAATTATATATAAAGTCAACGTGAGATCATGGGGGAAAAAAGAGAGATCATCATTCCTATACATATTTTTTATGAAAATAAATTATTTTATTAATAACATGTTTCTTTTGTTTTAGCGTTAAAGTGATATTGTTGAATTAATTTGTATATAACAAATGGCATGCGTAACTTTTCAATTTGTTAGTAATAGGGCCACTATTAATTTTAATGGCTGGAAAGGTAGGTTATAGTTTTTAATATTCATCATTTTTTTTTTTGGTTTATCGGAAGGCTCATTGAACATTGGATAATGGGGACGGTCATCTTCCATTACACAATAATTAAATAAATTAGAGTCACTAAAACATGAAAGCTACTGGGCTTTTGTGTAAATTCATTAAAATTATTGTATCATATTACCTTGAATTCTTTACTTCAAAAAAATAATTAATCCAAGATATATTTACTATGTTTTCTAATAGCTTCCTTTCTTTTCTTTTTAACTTCACAAGTTGCTATCATGAATTCTTATCCATTTACTTTTTTTAATCCAGATTTCCTGTAATTAAGATTTTAATATTCTCACAGATATCTTAGCTTAAACATATAAAAAATTAAGAATATATATATATATATATTAGCTTTAGCTTAAACATATAAAAAATTAAGAATATATATATATATATATATATTTGGGCAACACTTTTATTATTTAACTATGGATTGTTGGAATTGACCCCGTTCACAGACGGGCTAGGCAATTATTATGGGTTTTGAACTAATATATACAAGTATGGCTGGTTGCAGGTATTAGAATTGGGCATCATTGTGCATTCAGTAGTGATAGGCCTCTCTCTTGGAGCCTCAAGCAACACTTGTACAATTAAGGGCCTTGTAGCTGCTCTTTGCTTCCATCAAATGTTTGAAGGAATGGGTCTTGGTGGTTGCATTCTCCAGGTAATTTTTTTTTAAAAAAAAACCCTCTATAAACTCTTATAATTCAGAGTTCACAATCACAGTCAATGATATTTTATTGACATAACATATATTTTTTTTGTTAATTTGAACAGGCTGAATACAAGCCTTTCAAGAAGGCAGTCATGGCATTTTTCTTCGCAGTAACAACTCCTTTCGGAATTGCACTTGGCATTGCACTGTCCAAAATGTACAAGGAAAGCAGTCCTAATGCTTTGATCACTGTTGGTTTGCTCAACGCATCATCTGCTGGACTCTTGATTTACATGGCATTGGTTGATCTTCTAGCTGCCGATTTTATGGGTCCAAAATTGCAGGGTAGCATTAAGCTCCAGCTTAAGTCTTACATGGCTGTACTTTTGGGAGCTGGTGGCATGTCTCTAATGGCGAAATGGGCTTGACATGGTTCGTTAGTTTCTCGTGGAAGAATCTGTCAAGTCTCCCATGTCATATTATTACTCCAAAATTATCTAAAAAAAATCGTGTCTCCTGTACTTTCCTTGAAAGTTGAGTATGTTTTTCATTTTTTTTCTTATTGCAAGTTCAAAGTTGTTTTTGTTTTATGAGTGTGTCGTTTCATAATTAATGTCTTTTAATGAAAGAGAAGCTTCATAATTTTGATGTTTCAACAATATGATATTTCATGTTAGTTTTCAGTAAATATATAGCACAGCAAAGAAAATATTTGATACAGATTTGTTATCAGCAAATGCAACGGCAGTAGATAGCATGGGCTTGCAACCAGCCTCATTGTGAGTTAGGCTAAACTCTAGAGGAAAGAAACTACGTGCTGGGCTGGGCTAGCCTAGCCCAGCCTATAGCTCCATGGCAATATATTATATGCATTCAATTAAAAAAAACAAAAAACAATTGTCATCTACAAGAGAAAAAAGAGGGAGGGAACATGATTTGGTCAATCATTGAACTCAGTTTTGGACTATTAGGGTTTCACGCGGACTCAATTAAAGTTTGCTGGCCACCTTCATTAACAAATATAGGTGCGTGTTTTTTTATTTTCAGAGCAACCTCCTTCAATCATGTATGTTTATCTTATCTGCATGTTACAACCACACTACCAACCATACCCACCCTAACTACCAAAAGCATATAAAGATTACTAGTAACACAAAGCATTGTAATGAAACCTATTATACAAGTTATGAATTGAAGAATGGTTGGATTTAATTCAATAACAACGATAATATTTTAATTCTATGTATTAAAATGATATTATTTTACCAATAATTATGATTAAACCAAATTAGCTTCAAGATAGTGTTTTTAAACATTTAGTTTGTGGTATAGATGAATTTAATTTGATCAGGTTCAAGTTTTATCCGCTTGTGGGATAGTAGTCATTAAGATTTACACTATAATAAAAAGATTAGTTGCTTATAATTAAGAAAAGAGAGCAAATCCGAATAACACATCAACATCCTTACATGGTCACAGCGTTTCAATGAGCTTTAGTAGTTGGATTGCTATCATATTCTTACCAGCAATTATATCTCTAACCTACTCTTTGTCTGGATTATCTTAAAGAAAAATATCCAAGGCATCTGACGCCTCTAATCAAGGAGTCAAGGAGGCATCATGTCCCGTGGACTTGCACCATATCCTTATTTGAAAATAAGATTTAAAACAAAACCCTACGTTTTTTACATGGTTTCTTGACGAATTTGAGTCTGTGAGCATAGGGCTGACGCAAAGTATTAGCTCATAAAATTTCTAAACTAAGAGTTCTCCCTTACCCTGCCACTAGCAGGCGATCTGAACTTCATATTTTGAATGGTCTTTCGAGCTATGCACAAAACCTAACATTGAATAATGCTAGCTTAAGCAGTTGATAAATTCTTTTATCGTCGGTTTTAAAAGTATTTTTCTTATATCAACATGATGCATTCAAGAAATTAATTTCCCAAATGCTTGTCTCGATATTCGAATTCACAAAAACAAATAATCAAACATTCTTTTAACATATAGCCAAACTTGGATCTACAAATATGAAGCTTGATGCTTTGCTTTTTTTAAAAAAAAAAAGCACGAACAAAGGGGAGTTAAAAGCATGAAGGAATCGTCTTTTGATAAGAATGAAGGAATCATTTTAAATTTACTTTCCGATTGAATTCATTCTCAACAACATAAGATAAATGCAGGTCAATTATCTCTGAGTTTCCGCAAAAAATAAATTAATTGAGGACTATAAATCCAAATATCCTCTTTGTTTACAAATCTTGAAAAAACAAATTCGAAACAATAAATGTTGTTGAATTAATGATTATCCAGCACCGAATTGTTGACAGTGATTGAGTTTCGAACATGGTTCTAGCATTTAATGAATTGTTGGGTTTGGTATAATTGTTTTTTAAATTATTTTTTTAATATAAATATATTAAAAACAAAAAAGCTCTTGATAATATGTAGGCACATTAAAAATAAAAAAAATTATTTTTAAAATTATTCTTTAAATTAAATTTACATTTTAATTTTTTTTTGTTTTAATACAAAATATTAAAATGACTTAAAAAATAATAATTTAACAAAAAAAAGAGTCTAATAAGGAATAGAAAAGGTAGTGGGTAATCATTATTGTCTCATTTTTCAACACTTTAGTGGGAGCATTAGTACAGTCCTCTGATTAATTTTTTTTATAAAGAGATGTTTCGGAGTCGCAAAGGTCAAAACGAAAGCCACATTTTCCCTCGTTAAACAGGCGAAGAACACCCAAGTGCGCTGCCCTTCACAATCCAATCTCTCTGGCTCAAGAATCTTTCATTTTATTTTTATTTGATCTTTTTAACTTCATCTTGAAACGTTTGTATTGGTTATTGAGATTTGAGATATCAGAATAATATCCAACGAGACCAGATATCTGGATAACCACGTCAAAGCTACCGACATGCATGAATTTTTTAGTGAGAGATCATAAACAACAACACCACTTGTCATCAGTGTTATTAAACCTAATCCATTTAGCAGATTGATATAAAACTAGCAGCAGAAATTTACTTAAATTCAAACGAATCAACTTATAACTTGATTAATCCAATTAAAACTCAATTATGTTAATTAATCCAAATTACCCTGTTATTTCATGGCCTAGACTTTGAACTGATTACGAGCTTAACAACCGCTAAACTGCACTGTGAATTCCTTATTTAGGTGTAAATGGTATAAAGAAAATTTAATTTTATTAAGTAATTGTAAAATTAGAAATAAAAGAAAGAATATAAAAAAAATAGAAGTTTTGATTTTATTGAATGTGTTTGAGAATGTGATTATAGTTGTTTTTCAAAGTGTTTTTTATTAAGAAAAATATATTGATAATATTTTTTATTTTAAAAAAATTATTTTTAAGATAGTATGTCAAAATAATTTAAAAATATTAAAAATATATTAATTGAAAATAAATAAATAATAAAAAATTTTAAAAATATTTTAAATTTAAATAAATGAAAAGTAGCTGCTGGTCAAGTGATATTTAGATGTTTTTTCCACGACACGAAAGGGGTTGGAATTTTATTATTATTTGCTTCTAACACAACAACGGGCGCACCCAATAAATTGTTTTCTATGTATCAACATTCAATTTCATTACCATAGTTTTACATTATTTTTTGAGGTACAATGGATGGGTTTAAGATGTATATATTTGTTTAATCATATCTTTATTTTAATGTATCTTTTAAAAAATATAAAATTCATATTCTATGTCACATGTCGGTGTGTACATCACAAATAAACATATTCTTATTCTCAGTAAAGGATTTGTTATTGTTGTAAATCATAGCTTTTTTTAATTAATTTTTTTTAACAATAAGATTATTCTTAAACTAATTTATATGTCAATCAAGATATATTCACAGATCAATCTGGTCTGTTTATATATATTCGCAAAAAATCAAAGGAAAGTTTTAACGAAACCTACTCGAGGAAGTGAGTTTTGTAATATATATATATAGAGAGAGAGTTGCAAACACAAGTTCAGAAGAGAATAAAATAGAGAATATGTCAATGGGGTCAAATCTCGATAGGTTGGTGGAAACTTAACGATTCCTAGTGTCGAATTCTTTGCATGGTGGCATGAGATTCGTTGGTTGTTCTTATTTTTATAGTTTCCTTCAAATCAGCTGATAGCATCAGTGGTTTTATACCTGATCCTTCTCTAAGTTCTTTGATGGTCCAGGCTTTAATTTATTGTGAAAAATTGGTTGCGTTCTTCCTCAGCACCAATTGGCCTCTGCCTTGCTTTTGTGGATAATGTTTTTAAGCCATGATTGATTGATACTTTTGCTGTTTATGTTCTTAGAATCTGCAACAAAGTTGACATGACCCTGGATGATTGATGAGTGGTGAATCAGAAGGCTAATATATAGTTCTCAAAATGATTTAATTGTTTGATACAGTATGTTATGAAAAACTGGGTCTGCAGCTAGCTACTCTACTACTGGGTTTTATTGCCCCACTGCTGGGTTCAGCTGGATTTTCCAATTGTTGGTTATACAAGCCATTCCGAAGATGTTGTTGAGCAGTGAAGCACTGTTCAACTCGTTTTTCAAAATATTGTTTATTTGAAAAAATATTAAGTTGATTTTTTTAAGTATTTATTTATCATTTTGTAAATATAAAAAAAATTAAAATAGCATAATTTTAATATTAAAAAAAAAACATTTTACTTCATGTTACCATACACGTTACCAAACACGTCATTAAAACTGTAGCTATTGTTACCTTGTGATTGTTAAATATTTTATCCAAAGTCTACGATGTGTTTGAACTTTGAAAAGTTCTTGAATACTTTGATTGTTTATTTTCTCGTGGTTTACCATATTTATAATTATAAAATTCAATCTGAATTAAGTTTTATTTTAAATTATTTTTTATTAAAATAGGATTATTTTAATTTATTTTTTTTAATTATAAACCCTACCACCTTTTGATCCGGTTTGTCTTACTTTATTACAATGACCAGAACGTAGAGGAGGGGAGCTAGTCTCTTCTTTTCATTTTATCCAAAATCAAGAAAAAAAATTATAGGCCTGCAAGAATGCTCCTGTGGGCTTAAGAATTTACTATATCTATTTAGAATTTAACTGATCCGAGACAATCGACTTGATGAATTATCTTGATTCATCGATTTAAATCGGTCTCTAAATTTGAAAAACTTTATGTTCAGGTCAGATAATTGTATTTTTCACGCTAATAAAAAGAACTAAAAATCTTCCCTATCTGTTGAAAATAATTAATATAATGGATTCCTTGGACGGTGAATCCATGAATGGTACGAGGTGAGTAGCTAAGGCAGAAGTGGCTATTATTTATTTGAACAGTGGAATATGGAGATTTGTAAAAATTTAAAATTTAGAAATAAAAGTCTAGGAAAAAACAAAGAATGCCAGCAAACCAAACAATAAAGACTGGCCCTTTCCTTGCTTTTCTCTTACTCCATTAAGACCAACAATAACAGTACTGCTTCTCATTGATCCTCTCTCCCCCCTTATCCCTTAATCTTTGCTTAATGTAAGCGAAGAAGGAAAAGAAAAGGCGGGGTCTGTTATTTATTTTTTTGTCAGATTAGGGCTTATTTTTTTACCTCTTAAACACAGTCAGATACACATAAATGGAATCATCAGATTAAATTCCATGACAGCCAACATGGTATGGACGCTTCATTTTTTGTCGTTTTAATTAATACCCTTTTTTATTTCTTGATTCTTTTAATGTTTTTTTATGTTGGTTTTGTTGTATGGATATGCTCTTTTGTTCTTTCAAGTAAATGGAGAGATTGTGAGCCACAAGGGTTTGATTGATGTTTGATGTGATAAATTTTCTATCTTTGCTGTTTCGGTGGTTCTTTTTTTACTTTGTAAGGGTTGTGATTAGTAAAGTTTGAAGCTTCGGATTGATCTGTTAATTGGTGTATTTTAGATTTTGATTTAGTAGTTGCAGGTTTGAGGTCACTGTTTGACATCTTCTTCGTTTTTTTTTTTTTTGTGTGTGTGTGTGTGTGTGTTTTTTAGGGGCACTGGATGCTAAAGTCTGGATTTTTGGATCGATTCTTTGATGGTTTCACTCAAGTTTAGGAGAGAGTGCATGTTGTTTATACGCAATTTACTTTGAGATTTGTCAAGAAATAGATGCTGATATAGGGAGTTTTTGGTTGCTTTGTTTCCGGGTTTTAATCATAGTTTGATATAAATCACACCTTGAAGCCATAATATCTGTCGGCTTCTGCTGCATTTTGGAGTAAATAGTGTTGAAGATGGAGGGTCAAGTAGCTTTTAGTGATGGGTCTTCAGCGAGTTTAGTGAGGGGGGGAATGAAATTGGAGGAGGACGAGGAAGATTTCCGTAGTTGTTGTGAAGATGAAGAAGTGTGGAAAGAGATTGAAGATATAGTGAAGGAAGAGACAAGGGAAGATCTTGATGAATTTTCAGTGAAGATGTTTTTCAAGGGGATGTCAGTGGCTGAGGATGGGGACTCTGGTTCTGGGTTCTCTGGAATTGGTGTTGTCATGGAAAGGACTAAATATGCTCCTGTTATTCAGGTGCAAAAGAAGCTCGACTTCTATGTGGATGAATCTGTTGCTGACTATTTGGCTCTGATGGATGGTCTTGCTGAGGCTATGCAGAACAATATCCGCCGTGTGTATGCGTTCACTGACTCTGAGCTGTTATATGATCAGGTGAGTCTTTCATTCGTCATGATTTTTACATCATATTTCTACAATGTAGACAAAACTTACTATGATTGTGTAAAACCTGAATAAACATCTTTGTGATAGAAGTGTTGCCAAAGCGTTTTTATTTTAGTGAGATTACAGTGTGGTTTTGATAGTGTATTGCTGCATCAAAAGAAAGAAAACAATCTTTGTAGAAATAATTTATGCCCTTGCCATCATTATTATTGTATCTTCTCAAATCCATTTTGAAGAATTCACAATGCAAGACCAAGACATGTTTTAATTTTCCTTTTATGAATCTGGAGCTTCAAAGAAGTTCTACTTTCAACATTCTGAACAGTTGAAAGAATTTATTAGTTTGGAATCTCTATCATAGATTTACTTCTGTACCAGCTATGTTAATTATTCTATGATGTTCTTTAGCTACTGCAGCCACTCAAGTTCAGTGAAATAAATACTGGCGGTGATTCTGAATGCTATATGTTGTGCTAATTGTCTTCAATCATTTTGATTTTTGCACCACTGATTTATTTCTCAAACAGTAAGTGCTTCCCAATTATAGTAGTTGTCTCTCTTAGCTTTAATCTATGTAATAAAGATTTCTCTGCCAATTCACCTTGTTTACACCATCTATTGCAACCTTGATACCAAATATCTTGTCCTGTGCATGCTTCCCACGTGACTTTAGTTTATGTTAACTTTTGACAGATAATAAACGAGGAGAAACTTGAGGTTCCACTTCTGATAGCACTGAGGCAAAGGATACTTGAACATGCCAGCAACCTGGAAGCTTTTGTTCTGAAACTCAGTCCCTGCTGTGATCTTGAGAGGCCATTACGCTTAGCACAGGTTGCAGTTGGGGTCGTTTCTTTTCCATCCAATGGGAGTGAATCCCATGATAACTGTTCTATCTGTTGTGAGGATAAGATGTCGCCAATGATGATAACAATGAAATGTTCTCACAAATTCTGCTCACATTGTATGAAGACCTATGTTGATGGAAAAGTACAGTCATCTCAAGTGCCAATCATATGCCCACAGTTGGGATGCAAATATTGCATTTCCATCAATGAATGCAGATCATTTCTTCCTCTCACTTCATATGAATCTCTGGAAAATGCCCTGGCTGAAGCTGATATTCACCATTCTGATAGAATCTACTGTCCCTATCCTAATTGTTCTGTCCTGCTTGATCATCGAGAATGTTTGTCAGCTAGGGTAAGTTCATCAAGTGAGTCTGATAATACCTGTATTGAGTGCCCTGTATGTCGAAGGTTTATCTGTGTGGAATGTGGGGTTCCTTGGCATTCTTCCATGAGGTGTGAAGAGTACCAGAACCTTCCATTAGAAGAGAGGGATGCTGCAGACATTACCTTGCATCTTCTGGCACAAAATAAAAGATGGAGGCGTTGTCAACAGTGCCGCAGGATGATTGAGCTCTCTCAAGGTTGCTCCCATATGACCTGCTGGTAAGTTACGTGGGCACCTTTTGGGTTTCTTTCTTCCTTCTGTTTTATTAGATCATGTGTGGTGTGGTGCTGGCTTGAAGTAGATAGCATGGTTGCAAAATCATCTGGTAACTCAATGTTTCATTCTTGGAAACTGAGTAAGAAATGGAACTGGGATGCTGTTAATTTATTAATTAAGATGGATTTGTTGTGATCTTGATAATTTGATGCCTTTTCATGTGCTAACTATCTAATGAAAAATCCAAGCCATCATACCTTTTCTGTTGTCTCTTCTAAATCATTTTGCAGAAATAATACTAGTGGAGAGGACTTTAGTAATGGGAAAAGCTATTCATTTAGTTGATCCAGGTTATTTGGGAATTTTTCTTTTTGTTGAATGAAATTTGGCAGTTGCTGAGGACCTTCAACAGGTCATAATATTGACTGGTATTGACACTACAGAGCAAGTGCAAATGTTCAAATCCTTTTTTCTGTTCTGGCTTTGGAAAACTCAAATGCCTTGCCTAGATGATCATACATATGGAGACTGCTTTGAGGAGATACTATCGGTTCAGTCTATGTTGAGTCTTGCATTTACAGTTGAGATCAATAAAAATATAATTACTATTAAGCTTTGGTCATATCTATGGCATTCTTGACTTTAGATCATGTAAGATTGGCTTGCCTGAATCCTTTGCTTGTGCAGATTAACAATCACTTACATTTTACATATTAAATCAGTAATAAAGAGGTTGCATTTGCTTCCTTTACTCTGTGGTTTTTGAAGTTCTTAACTCCACATCTGCTCTCTTTTCCTAGGTGTGGGCATGAGTTCTGTTATTCTTGTGGTGCTGAATATAGGAATGGGCAACAGACCTGTCAATGTGCCTTCTGGGACGAAGAAAATTCTGAAGATTTGGTCACCCAGTCAGCTCAAGAATCAGAACAATGGGCATGGGAGACTTATAACTCACTACCCATGCTTATGGATGCTTACTCAGAACAAGAGAGGTCACAGCTGGCACTAATTCAAAGGTTCCTTGCTGGGGGTTTCAGTCTGAGTGACCACCATCCATACCAATCTCCGCCCAGCTGTACAGACTCGTATGTAGATGCCATGAAGGATCTTCATCAGCTTCCTTGGCTTGAGAGGTTTGTCTCTGTAATAAGCGACAACTACTACGAAGACTATATCCAATGAAAGCTAATATAGGAGTGCTAATAAACTAGAAAAAAGGTTGCATATCTTCTCAACCTTAAGGGAGGTAAAAGAGCATCTCACTCTATTTACTCCATTTGCATCTACACGGGAATTGCAGAAATTGGGACGTCTTTTTCCTTCATAGCCTTTTCATCATCTCCACCGGACTATATGTGATCTTTAAGGTGCATAAGCTGGAAGCAGAACGAATGCTTGAGAAGCATTCTTCTTGAAAGAAACAGAAAATAGATAAAACATTATTACATAGTAAATTGAAAGAAAATGAAACAAAGTTGTTATCTTTTCCTTTTTTCTCTACTGTGAATTGTTGTAATGAAGGAAAGCTTTCACTTTTAGTGCTTGGAAGTTGATGAAACAATTGGTTAAATCGAGCTTGTTAAACCATGCAAAGCAATATGCCATTGCTTGTTGCATCAATCAACACGGTTTTCTTCTCTTGCAGTCATTCCTGAGAATTTTGATATGAAATCAGTTGGTTCTTGTTCCCATCTTGAGTAGGATTAGGACGGTAGATTCTCTGTGGATCAGAAACAAGGTACTTAAGGTAAGCTTTAAGCCTCCAAAGTGGTCATGGATATGACCTTGAAAGATGGCAAGTGATGGGGAGGCTGTTATTTTATTCCTTTCTGTGATGACTCTGTGTGATCTCTCAAGTCATTTTGCATTTGTGTAGCCACTAGCATCCCAAAGATTTACCTAACATCATAGCTTGGTGTGAGGTGGGAAATGCCATGCGCGGAATTGCACGGAGGTTTTTTGTGGCAGGATAGGAGTCTCGATGATTTTGTTTCAAATATGAATTAGAATTAACATTTATATATCATAGCAACTTCAATCTTGACTATGATAGGAAGATCCAATCTTATGTTGCATCTCATTATTCAGAAGAAAATGTTTTCCTGCAGTAGTTGTAACTGTAGCAAGAAAAACTGATTTTTCTTAAAAAAAATTATCAATTTCATCTTGAATATTAAAGTGGGAATTTCTATAACATGATTCAGTGACCGCATCTCAAGTTTCTAATAAATCCGGGCACTGTGGGGGAGGTCCACCACAATGGATAGTAGCATGAGCAAGTTATTTCTGATTCAAGACACCACCCAACGAAACCTCACGCTTCAACCTCCTGAGTGAAAGGTCCAACCCAACAAGGAATCCCAACTGGCTTTTCTTCAAGAAAAAAAAAAAAAACTATTTTACAAGAAATCAAGCATGTTGCAAGCTGAAGCATGAAATTTATCCAGGAAAAAAGAAGCAGCAATTTATAAAATACAAGTAGACGGGAAAATAACACAACCTAAGATTGTAAACATTTAGAAATAAACAGAAACTAGAATACCAATATTTACTCTAGTGAGGATATTGGCCTCAACATGGGACAGCAGGCATCTCTATATCAACATGGAGTTACACATAACTAGAGAAAATAACAGCCACCAATACCAATTCCAGAAAGCGGATAACAAAAACCCTAAACATGATGATGTTGAGAAAAGTAAAAATCAGCACTGCAAGGCTTCACTGAATGTTAATATGAATTACTCACGAATGACATTGAGCAAGGTCCATTAGTATTTAATTTGTGCCTGGCTAAAAAGCATGTGAAAAAAGAGACACCTGAAGAAGGAAATAACTAGTCACTGCTGTAATTAATTTACTTAAAGTAATATATCGATCATATATTGATATTCATTATTGTTTTTATATATTGTTTTCATTTCTCTGAACCACTTTAATTATATCAATAGCTTCATTCAAACAGATAGAGTTCGGAATAATGGATATTCTTTTGAATATAGAGATTTTAACTTCAAGTCAAAGTTAAGATCCAACCTAAAAGTCAACCTAGTCAAAAGCTCAAAGCCCAAGATATGGGTAGGGAAAAAAACGCTTGAAATAACGTTGTTTTAATTAAAAAAAAAAAAACTCGGGTTTTTTCATTAAACACATAGGGTCAATGGTAACAATTTTGAATTAAATTTTTATTTTTTAAAAATAAAAAAGATCTAAGAATATGTTCCCTCTATCTTCATTGTCTAAGAGATTTCAGATGGAGTGAGATTGTTTTAATTTTTAGAATAAAGTCAATGGCAAGAAACATACTCATTCAAAAAAATAATTAAGGTTGCATCACATTATCGTCCATGATAAACCCTTGAACAAAGAAAGTTCATCAATCATCTAAAAAGCAAGACAGCGGACCAACAAAACTTCCTTTGCAGGCTGGACATCATTGGACCCACAAGAGAATTTTATTCCTTGATTGTTTCAGAGGAAATGGAGGAAGGTGACTCCTTTAACCTTTTCCTTTCTTTATCGCCCTTGAATCCCGGAGACAAAAAGGATTATGGAAGGCACAGCAGGAAAAGGAAGAAGAAAGGCACGGCATTGGCATGAGATGAGAGAAACTTGAGTTTGACAAATTCATAAGACAACCATACCGACAAGGATACATTAAGAACATCATAGCATAAAACAATGTGTCACTCAAGACTATGATTAATATAGCATGTCCTGTAGATAGAATGTCATAAAATGACATCATATCTAAGACAGGACGAATGCAACTTCACAAGATGTTGCTGAGATTCCTGTGAGGCAGGTCATGATCAGAAGCTGGATTTAATCAAATAAGGCAACAGCACATACCTTGATAATGATTTCCTGCAATGTGGAGCTTGAAAAGAGTTCTGAATCTCTACTCTCTGCATGAACATCAGACTATGTACAATTGAAATAGTATTCTATGAATTAAACCCTCAAAATTACACAGACAAGTGCAGTAAACTATTGAATAACATCGTTCAACTCTTAAATTTCTTTTTCTGTTCTTTTTACCCGTTCTACTGGTCACCAAACCAAGCATTGCAGAAATGGGTGATATCCAGTTATATAAGTCCATGGACTTCATTAAATATTTCTGTTAGGACTGGTAATACTCTTTCGGAATTTGAGGGCAGCACACTTAGCATCCAAAGATCAGAAAAAATTCAATCTCTATGAACATAAGTGAATTAATAGAAAAAAATTAAATAACAGAAATAATGAAAAGTATACTTAAATCTGGTCTAACGTGCTATCCTGACAGTCTATATCCTTGTTTCTCTGTACAGAAAAAATTATCGAAACTATACCAACCAATTTCCTCGCGAACTCGATTAAGGTTCTGAACTGAAGTGTCTGTAGCAGGATGCATTCCATAATCTTCAACAGGAGATGATATTAGAGCCATAGCTAATTGCTTTGAGGCTTGAATCAGACATATTTGTCATCCATTTATGAGGACCATTGGATTCCCCCAAAATATTGTATGCATATGAAGGCCATCTTACATCCACGCCACACGAGCTTGTCACACCCATTCTAGTCATCTTCTGTGTTCTGTCAAGAGCTATGAGGCTTGAAAATGTCGAGAAACTATTCCCGACAAATACATCAGCCTTAGAGCAAACTTCATAATCTATTGCTGACTGAATGAGATATGGGTATTTCTTGTAAATTCCATCAACACTGAGCTTCTTCTTCTCAACAGGAAGCAACCCTTCCTTCCACCCGGTGAGTATAGAAGAATCTTCAAGCAGACTATCTGCCACAGCAAGATAAACAACAATAGGACTTTTTAAGCCAACAATGTTCCCTACTCTCTCCATAATCTCCTGCTTGCTACTGCAAATTTCACTAACATTTAATCTTTGCTCTAACTTCTTACAGTGAATCATCCAATCTATCTCTATTCTCATGTGAACCGCCACATAAGGCACTGGCTGCAACAAAGAACTATCAGGATCAACACCACTCTGAGCAGACTGAGATTTGCTCCTTATCTCTTTTCCTACTTCTCTAATCTTTGACACAACTTTATCCGCCTCTTTAGCTATCTCATCAACCAAAACCAAGCATTCAAAGACCCTGGCATAGTCCTTAACTGGCCAATGATCATGCCACAAAAAGGGGTTCTTCCCAACTATTCTTATTACCTCATATCCATTAAATGAATCCTCGCTAAACTCTTTCAATTGATCCAAATCCCTCTCAACTGTCCACTTCCTCCCACTTCCCTTCTGAAGCTCATACACTCCAGTCCGATTCTGAAGATCTGAATAACGGCCCAACTGCACAAATCCATTACAGAGGGCATTAAACCTCTCAAATTGAAACACCTTGTCGAAGGAAATAGGCTGGAGGCGATCTATTTCCTTATAGAACAGGGAAGCGCTTAAACTAGGCATTAGCAGAGTCCGGTTCAGCATTCTAGCAGTTAGACAAGATCTCGCAAATGCTATCTTTTGATTGTTTAGGCCCCATACTATCTGAGGAACTTCTAAGAATTTATCTTTACGAGTTCCATTATCAGAATCCAAGGACAAAGATCGGCTATGAATCAAATCAAGATTGTTTTTATCTATCCCACCATAGCCTAAGAATGAAGGAAGCAGCACAACTCTAAGAAACAGAGCAATCACAATCAAAGCAAGACCTTTACATGTTATAGAATTCAAGTTTCTGCCGAAGAACATTGGATACTTGCAACTAGAGGGCATGCCCATCCAATATTCCCCTCACCAAACAATCAAACCACTCTTTTAACCAACATTCTTGCTGACAAAATCGCAACCAGCCCAGTTCAGTTACAATTGTATAAGCACATACCCCAAATATCTATCACTCTGAAACTTAAATAACCACAGCTTTCTAATCCCCATATCTGGAAATCATTTGATCAGAAGCTTGCTTTTCACTGCACATCAAAAAATCTGCATGATCAGGAGAAGAGAAAAGATCATCAGAACCAGTTTAAACACTATAGCACGGAATTCGTCAGTTTCATGAATATGCCACACATCCAAATAGTATTAACATACGACTCATTACCATATTACAGTTTAAGAAAGAGAGGCCATTCAAACTCAGATGCCAAATTCAAACCAAAGAAACAACAAGAAGTCAAGAAGCATGTGAATCCATTAAAAAAAAAGTGCACTCTTATGAAGATCAGAAACCATAAAGCCCATATATTTACTCGGTCAATGTTCTGGATAGAAGCAAACAACAGATAATCCAAAAATACAACGATAACAATGCCAAGCTACAAGAAAGAAAGAAACAAATAGGAATAAATTTGCATGATGTCTCACCTTTGAAACCTGAATAACTGAGTGGTTCCAGGAAAGATACAGTCTTTTAAATCCAAATTGGTGTTGGTGTCAGATAACAAAAAGATTCAGAATTTTCTTCAAAACCCCAGATACCAAAAGAGGGCCAACAAGAAAATAACAAGATGATGATGATCATGCATGAACAGGAATCTGAAAAAAACTGAATTCCCTTGAACCAAAAGCAAGACAACCCATCAACATGATGACAACAAAGAACTCAATATCACCCTGACCCTTTTGTCTAAGATTTTCAAAGAAGGAAAAAATAAACAAATAAAAGGAAAGGAATCTGCAGTGGTTGATGATTAGGAAAAGGGAAAAAAAAAAGGAATTGTAAGGGAAGTGATAATGGAGAAATTTTAGAGTATTGGATGAGTAGCCTTTCATGGTAATATATATTGAAATAAAAAATATTTTTTTCTTATTTTTCTCCTTTTTATATTTATTATTTTTATTAAGCAAGTATTGATAATTATTTCTTTACTATTGTAAAGTTCCCCTTGAGAGTTGAGAAAGGTGATGATATGGTAGGCTTTCACTACCTAATCATTTATATTTTGCACCTTGTTCTTGTGAGGTTGGGTGGGTATTTTCATGTGGGGTTACCATTTACCAACATTGAGTGCCTTGCATACTAGTTTGCAAATACACCCTTGCTATTGAATAAAGAAATGATATTGACGCTATTGGATTTACTATATACAATATTCAGTCAAAGGAATATGTTAATTTTTAGGCAATTTCTTCCCTTTTTTGTATTGCTATATCCATTACTGTTCAACTCCGTTTGATTTTGCCTCCCGTTTTTCAACACAAAGCTGGAAATTAATTCGTTGGCCTTCCCTGGTTTGCTTCTGGGTCACGTTGAGCTTTGACCATGGCCAATTAGCAGACGAGTTGCAGCACATTTTAAGCACAACCCATGGCTGATTGTCTTCTTAAGTGAGAAGACAGCTTACAGTTCAAAGCATTGAACCAAGAAAAGCAGAGAAGGGTAAGTTTTAAAAACCACTAACTTGTGCCGAAGCATCGAGAAGAGAGGGGACAAATCTTGAACTTGAGCATGCATGCATGAGAGAATTTAGAAAACAATATATAGGTAAGCATGCTACCCATCTCATTCTTTTACCCTTTGAGAAATAAAGTTGATTTCAATGCACACAAATTAATTTTAAAATACTATTAATCATCAAAAGATTCATTTGTTTTTTGACCTAGACTCAAGTATTAAAATTTGAATCACCTCAACAACCAAAGAGGGAAGAATGGGATGAAGAAAAGCCAAGAAAATAAAATGCGGTGGGAAAATTGAACACAAAGCACCATATGGAAAAGGGTCCCATTCTTCTACATCAAACAAGTAAAAAAAGAAGTTGGAAAGCATCAAGCCACCCTTCCACCTTTTCAATGCTGTACAAACTTCTGTGATGAAAAAAGAAAAGGCAATAATACAGCCGATAGGAGAGGCCATTGTTGACAGCTGATATACCACGAATCATCCTTTCTATGATAATGTGGACGATGGTGGGGGCCTCCCATTTATGATGTTGATGGGCATGGGAAACACAAATGGCCGAAATTGCAAGCAGGGATAGAGGCCAAGTGAAAGGACACAACCGCGAGTCCAACCTTAATTTTGAGCAGCAGGAAATAAATAGGACGCAAGAAACAAAATAAAAGCAGGAGAGAGAAGGTAAGTCCAACCAAACTGTCATTCTGAGGGTACAATCCTGCCACATGGGATATACACGTGCAAGCTTATGGAGGGTATTTTTCAGATGAAAACTGACACAATGAATCTTGCCTGTCGTTTTATTCGTTCGATTGCCCTTTTTTAGTAGGTTTGGTCTAGCTAAATTTTTTTAACTTCAAAAAATATATTTAAATGGTGATATTTTAAGATAAACATGTTAAATTAAAAATTAAATTAAATTAAATACACTCTTGAGATATAAAAGTAAAATAACCTGTAAATTTGTAGAGGTGGGTAAAAAAAATTAAAAAATTGATTAAATTTAAAAACTAAAAACATTTAAAAAATCAAACTATAAAAAAAATAATTAAAATATTTTAAAAAATATTTAATTTAGCTTGGTTTTAATTTCATAAGTTTAAAACCAAAAAACTCAATTGCACCAAATCTATTTAGTTAAAAAATAAAAACGTAACAAACAATATTTTTATAAAATAAAAAAATAAACTGAAACTAAATTGATTATAAAACTCATTAGAAAATTCAAAAAACTCAAAAAAATATAGATTTTTGTTTTTAATATAAAATAATTTGGACAGAAACGAAACTAGTTGGCTCCAATTGATTTTGGTTTGGTTTCAATTTTATTTTTTATATTTTTTAAAATTTTAATTTATTTATTTTTATAAGTAAAAACTAAACTGAATTGAACTGAAAATGATCACCTTTAACGCAAAGGCTATGACACTCGAAAACACATATTAGCTGCTTTTAATAATATTTAAAAATTTAAAATTATCAAGCTACCCTTAATAAAATCTAAAAATAATAATAAAACTAGTTTAAAAAACCAAAACATCATCGCAAATAGTCTCTACTCTTTGAAAAATAGACAATTACTGTTTAAACAATAATTTTTTTAGATTTTAATTAGAATTTTTTTATTTATAAAAAATATTTAAAAAATAAAATTTATAAAATTATATTTTTTATATAATACAGTTGATTAATCCAACTACCTATTAATTAAACAAAGTAAATAAACTTTTACTTTATCATGTTTCTGAAATATAATAAATAATAAGATAAAATGTGTCTTTTCACCTAATTTTTTACTAACAATGTTATACTAATAATTTTTTTATATTTATTGTGATAATTTGAAACAAAAAACTTTTATATATACTTATTATGGCTGATGTCTCGGCATGTGTCCCTTGAACAGTCAAGTCCAAGAAAAGGAACCTCCACGGTGGCACGCACAGCAAAGCATTTTGTCTGGAATGTTGGGCGTCACAGTTGTCTGGGCAACTCACGCGGCTATCTATCTCCTCCTTGGAGCCTAGCTCCTCCCTCATTATTCCTTCCTGTCTTGGAGGAAGAATCCAAGTCAACTTTTTATAAAGTCAGATACAGAAAAGAAATCCAGAGGAGGAAATAATAAGAAATATGTCTGAGAAAAATATAGATCCTACTAACGAATTCAATCTCAAAGCTCTCTTGAATAATAATAATAATAATAATAAT